AAAGAGTGTCTGCTTCACCCTCAGAGACCCCAAAACTGGAGACTTGACCTTGGAGGCCCAGGTGTCAAGAAAGTGCGGGCTTGTTTCTAGTGGCAGCAGTGGACGCCAGGCTGCCTCCGCCAGGGTGCGCTGGCTAACAGCGGGCCCCTGGGGCGAGCTGCTTCCCCTCGCCCTGCCTGGCCTGGCCTCCAGGTGGGGCCGCCTGTCTCTGGGGCACTGTCCACCCTCCAGATCCCCCCGGCATCAGGCAGAGACACTCCACTGACTCCTGCCGGGTGCCTCCCCCTGCGCCTGTTCTGAGCGCTCTCCCTGCACCCCCGGGTCACGCTGGGGCTCAGCCCTTGGGCGTCCCCTCACGTTCTCGCGGTTGTGGGGAGCGAGGCTCTGCAGGCGGCACGTGGAACCCCACCCTGGCTTGTCCCCCCGGAGACGGGTGCAGGCATTATGGAGCGCAACTCAACAGCTGTTTATTAAAGGTGCATGTGAGACGCCTGGTTCCGCGGCCTCCTGATGGCTTTACAGTTGGGGAGACGGGATGGGACGGGGCTGTACGTATTTACACATGTCTGGTGGCACTGCAGACCCAGGAGGGAGATGCAGGGTGGAGGGGGAGCCTAGACAGCTGGGCTCGGGCGGCAGCCGGCAGGGTGGCAGGGGTCAGGTGATGCACCGAATCCAGCACCCAGCTCGTGGTGTCCGTCTGCTCCTGGGCCGAGGTCTGGGAGTGGGTGTCCTGTGTCCCCTCAGCGGGTGGCTGGGCACCATCCTGAGGGCTTCAGACTTTGGTCCTCCAGCTCCTGCCTCAGACGACTGTTCAGCAACCGCCAGTGCCTTCCTCTAGGAAGTGCATCTTCTCAGGGCCCTGGGCCCCCATTGGCCTGCTGGGCTGGGTGATGAGGCATGGCTGGCCCCGCTGCAGGGGTTGGAAAAGGCAGAGGTGGCCCTGACAGGATGGCCCCGGCCTGGGGAGAGAACGCCTGGGCCAGACAGAGGGCAGCGGGGGCGGCCGGGGAGGGTCCTCTGCCCCCAGTCACGGTGGCTGCGCTGCTCGCCAAGAGGTAGCTCTGGGAGTTCGCCCCACGGCCCACGTGGGGAGACAGGCACACAGCGGCCAGAGCGCCGCCCGGGTCTCCCAGTGCGGGGGGCTCCCACCCCGGCCCTCACGGCTGGGCGAGCTGGGGTGGGTCCCCCTTTTCCAGGGGAGGCTGGCCTATGGTGGTGGTGGGCAGCATCCTTCAGCCCCCATAGCTGAGAAGGCGCTCGGGAGACCCCCCCAGTCCCGCCCTTCTGGCTACTGACGGGGACTGGGGGCGGCCGGTATCTGAGACGCGTCTGATCGTGATCCGCCTGGGGGCCGGGTCCCTGGCACCCTGCTCAGCCCCCGGCCACCTCCGTTGCTGCCGGCTGGCCCTCCACAGGAGGGGCACGTGGTGCAGCCCTTCCCGCGTGCTGTGTCCAGGCCCTCAGGCAGAGTCCTAGCGCCTGTCCTGCAGGACGGTGTGTCGGGTATGAGGGAGAGGTTGCAGTCTGTGTGTCTCAGCGGCAGCACGGTGTCCGAGGGAGGGGAGGGACAGTCGGTGGCGCCCGGGGTGGAGATGGGGCCCCTCCAGCACCTCCTCTTGACTCAGCCCTGCTCCCCCTCCTCCCCAGCCCCAGGAGCAGCTCTGCAGGGCGACTGTGACTTTAGATCCGCGGGGCGACCAAGAGCAGCCCCGCCCAGAGCCGGGTTCTGCAGGCAGGCGGTGGGCGGCTCTTCGTGCAGGTGTGCCGGGGCTCCCCCTCCGCCTCCTCTGGGACCAGCTCCCTCCAGCACCTGTGGGCTCCAGGGCCCCCGCTCCGAGTCCCACAGATGTGCTGGACCTCAGGGAGGAGGCCGTGCCCGCACGGAGCCCACACATCCAGGGCTTCCCGCATCGCAAAGGAGGTTGAGATCTAAAAGGGAAAGGCGGGGGGGGGCCGCGTGCTCCTTCTCAGAGCCCTAGCTGGTCCTTGCCTCCTAGCCCACAAAATCCCCTCGGTGCCCCGCCCACCTCGGCCAGAGCCCTCGCTGCACGCCTGCCTCTCCATGTTCCTTACGAAGGTTGCGGGAGTGCTGTGTCCAGACCACCCCTGGCCAGTCCCAGGGTGCTCCAGGCTTCCTACACTCGCCGTCTCGGGTGGGGCTGCCTTCTGTGGGGCTCAACCACGCCCCTTCCCCTTGCCCCCCGCTGAGGCTGAACAGGCAGGTGAACCGGCTAAGCCCTCGTGAACATTAATTACTCAGCCTTGCCCGTAATTACAGTCTTCCTGCTGCGCCTGCTCTGCCACGGTTGCCTGTCAATGCCCCCAGCTGGCAGGCTCCCGTCCCCCACGTCAGCGGGCGGGCACTGTCACCTCCCTGCGGCTCCCAGGAGGGGAGGGGAGGGGGTGTGGTGCTGATGCTGGGCCCGGTGGGGTCAGGAGCCCAGGAGGGCACTGCCGAGGACAGCCCCAGCCAGGAGGGTGGTCTCCGCGTGGGGTCCAGGCTGGGATGGCGCCCTCGTGGGCGTCCCCTGGCGGGGACGCAAGGTCCACCCTGCAGCTCACTTTCCTTGCAGAGCCCCGTGGGCACGGAAGCAAGCGCCTACGCAGTGAGGGGCCCGTACGGGCAGGGCAGAGGCTCAGAGGGCGGGGGCCCGGGTGGGCAGGCGGGTGCTGGGACCACCCTCGGGGCAGCCAGACGGCCCTGGGCCGGGAGAGGACGTTCTGGAAGGCCAGCCCCGGCCACTATCCCAGGAGGCCGGTAGGGGCGGGGGCGGGGGCTTTCTCCACAGCAGAGTCAGTGGTGGCTACCACCATGGGGCTGGGCACGTAGTTGAAGGGGGGGACGCGGGCGGAGCGGCTGGGGGAACCGTGTCGGCTGGCGGGG